ATTATTTCAAAATGTTCAAAAAGTTGTTTTCGATCAGCTTTTTGAGAAAGTCATTTTACATGTAATCAGCTATCAACTAACAGCTAATTTATCAAACACTTTTCTAATATTATCAACTAGTCAAACACACTAACTCAATAAGCTAACAACTATTTACCAAACATCCACATTATCCAGTACGAGAAGGACATGTGGGTGATTGGTAATCCACCACAATCCCTTTAACTATCAAACTTTCGTGCACGTTTTATGACCTATACATACATACAACTTCTTTGTAATGCTTGGTTTGATTCGTACGTTTCGATCCAGAAATTAAAAGGATCAAATCCAATGTTTTTTTTTTTTTTTTTTTTTTTTTTTTTTTTTTTTTTTTTTTTAACTTTATTAATAAAATGGCCGAAGCCAATACAGAGGGCTTAGGCCCCACATGGCATAAACCCTAAAACTAAACTAAGAAATGTAAAGTAGAATAAAACAAGATTACATAAAGAGGCCCCCGGGGCTCTAGTATGCATGCCCCAAGTCCTATGCTAGCTATCACTAACTAAACGTAGGCAGGAATATGATTAAACAAATAAATAGACTGAGAAGCTGCTCCAAATACGCGCAGCCCAACTGCCTCACAGCCCATCATGTAGTACCAAAGCTCAAATAGCGAGGATAGATGCCTCGCGTATGACAAACATGGCCCCTCCCAGCCAGTTGCACTACAGCGACTACACACCATAATGCCGCCTAGCCGGGCTGCACCACAATTGTAACACCTCCCGGAGCGCCATTGGCTGCCCTGTAGAACCAGACATGCCATACAACAGAATAGCACGCTGGTCTAAGTCAAGATATACAGCTAACAATGGCACGCAGGCCTAAGTCAAGATACAAAGCTTAGTGGCACGCAGGCCTAAGACAAAGGTACAAGGTAGATCCCAGGCCAAAATCGATCAACGCAGCGCAAGGCAGCCAATAGCACCCCGATCAGCACCAGCAGTAACCAGAACCAACCCTAACGGGATTAGCTACTATGGGCCAGCAGCAAGCCTGGACTACCGCCAACGGATTTGAAAAACACCTACCCGGCCACCGTTCAGCCCGGGCTACGATGCAATTTTTACCGCTTGCATCGGCGTTGAGACCTGGTCTTTCCCAAAGATGCCTGCAAAGGCGAAACCAAAACAGCCCAGGACCAGTTCATGCCTCCGAGGCCAAAGAAACAGCACCTGCAAAAACAGAAACAAGATAGAACAACCAAGCATCCTGTTCCCATGACCCAACTTAATTCTACCTCGGGTGAGTGTTTAAGGAACAAAAAATAAACCATAGCCCGTCCCCCCCGGAGTCCAGAAGGAACTCAGCTACTATTGGCCAGCAGCAAGCCTGACCAGGTCAACGGATTTGAAAATCCTGCCCGGCACACCGTTCAGCCCGGACTAGGGTGCCCTGTTGTACCGCCAGCACCTTACGTTGAGACTCAGCGCTGCAAGCAGGGCCTCACGGCCTCCCAAGAACCTCACACACTCACTATTTTGAGCTCCCATCCACTCTTTCTTTTCCTTTCCAACTCTCATTTTCTTTCCCTCCAATTCTTTTACACTCTAATTCTTTTCACTCTATTTCTTTTCAATCGTTTCTCATTTTCTCAAATCCATTTTCTTTTTTCTTTTCATTTTCTTTTCCTTTTCATATTTCCATCTCTCTTTCTCAAATCCAATGTTTGATTGGTAGATTAGTTGTTTGATAATGAAGGGATAAGGGGTGGTGGATCCCGGGATTGGGGGTAAAGTTTGTCTATTTGCATCAATGCAAGGACAAAACGGTAAAATGCAGTTGCTTCATCTAGGAGGACAGCAACAGTAGTAATTTACCCTATGGACAAAAACAGCACTGTCACATCAACCTCTAACTTCATGTCTTCATGTGCATTTTTATCTCACCCTATAATATAAATATAAATATCATTTTTAATTATTTTACATTATTACTAAATTAATCATTCAATTTTTTTCAAATTAATCTCTCAGCATAATTATCCGTGTGATGGATTAGGTCAAGATGAAAATGTAATATTTATACTGAAAAATGTAATACTCCGTACTAATTAGAAATAAAGTGTTTGTTACTTATAAAAAAAATTATAATACTTTTGAAAACACATGTAAAACTTTAAAATCAAAATGTAAAAATATTACATTTTTTCTACAAAAGTATTACACTTTCACTTATAAGTAACAAACAATTTATTCTGAATAGTATTACATTTTTCAGTATAAATCTTACATTTTCAATTGGAATACCATAATGGTCGCCTTCTCGATGGTCGCCTTCTCTGGTTGAGAAGGCAACCCAGATGTGAACTTTTCAGCTAAAGTATATTTCGAGGGCCTATTTTGTCGTCTTCCAGCAGTATGGTTGTCTTCTCCAATGGATAGGAGAAGACGAGGGTCTGGGTAAAGACCAAAGATCTTGAGCGATCGATCCGGTAGAATAACTCAAAAGATAAAGAAGTATCGTGAATTTCTTCATGCTCGTTCCAAGTTCGAAGTACCATTTGTGCAAATAAAAATTCCCTTCGTTACATGATTTCTTCTTCAGATAGATAGATATAGGATCTATGGGACAATTACTTAGAAGTACATTTTTGTGCTACAATCCTATCTGATAGAAAAGGATCTCATGATCCTGAGGGATCGCAAATCCCAATTTGTCTATGAAGACTGGTCTGGCTGCCTTCTCCACTGGAGAAGGCGGCTGTCTGGTCATCTTCTCCAGTTAAGAAGACGATTGGTCGCCAGGTTATTATTTTTTAATTCAAAGAGTCGCTGTAATTTTTTATCGCCGAAGTTATAGGTGAATTATCGGTTATTGGGTTTAGATGCACTAAAATGATAAATTTGAGTGTTTTTTTTTTTTTTTTTGAATGTGATAAATTTGAGTGTTTAATTACACATTTTTTTAAAAAACTTTCAAAGGTCTAATTGTACTTTAGAATAAAGTTCAAGAGTCTATTTGATCCTTTACCTTCTTTATTATCTGGTTTATGTTTTCCAAATCAACAAGTAAACATATTTTTTTATTTTCATATTCTATTTTTGAAAATTTTAAATTTTCATTTTTCTATTGTAAAATTGTAAATTTGATCTAACTTACTTATTATCTAATTTACAAAATATAAAATTATTTGTAGTCTAATTATTTTTTTTCTTTATATAAAAATAAAATCCAAAAAATGTGAATGGCAAACTTTATTCTAGAAGAAATTATAATAAACATATTATTTTCTCCCAAACAACAAAATAGTGCAGTAGTTGACTAACAACAGAAATATTTTCAGCAAATAATATAGAGTATCAATTCACTTCTACATTACATCAGCTTTGGTAATTTTGTTTTCTTTTTGTCAAAATTTCAATAATTTAATTTAGCTTCATTTAATTTAATATTTTCTTTAAAATATTAGTTATATAATTTCTTTTATTCAATCAAAATAAATCAACTAGTGCTAACATCTTTGTTTGTTAGGTGTCGGCCGGGTTGGCTGAGTTATGCCCTGTTCGATTTAAGACGTGACGATGTGGCTTATCATGGAGGAACGTGGTTAAATGGTTAATAGGATATGACATCTAGATAACTAAAGAATGACTGGATGAGTGACCCACTGAGAAGTATGTATAGTACAACGCTGAGATCCAACATATGTTTTAATTTAATACCAGAGCCAATTTTCTACAATAAGTCGCTTGAAACCCATAAAAATAATCGGGGTTTACCCTCGTAGCTCAATTTGCTCAATTTATACCGTCGAATATTTTTACCACTATTGAACCACACAAATATTTTATTTTTCTTTTGTTTATGTATTTATTCTAGATTTCTTGATCTCATTTTTTCTCAACAATGGATCAATAATGAGCTGCAATTACGAGTAATTATTTTTTAAACGAAATGACTAAATTAAATGAAATTAAATTAAGCTATTAATACACTGCCAAAAATATTCTGTATGGAATATGAATGTGAACAGTTCTGATACCCAACAGTCAACAGTCAAAAGTAGGGCCCAGAATGTATGTATACGTATTTGACATTATTGTATCTCCAAAAAGTTCCAAGAATTAAATATTTAAAGCTGTCTGAAATTAAAGCAAAACAGAAAATCACGAAAGCATATTAAAAATTCTATACAGACAACAATAAGTCAATAATTGCACGGTGAAAAACAAAAACAATTAATTCAATATGCTGACACTTTTGTTTTTTTTGTTTTTCTTTTCCGGCCGCCGGTTCTTGAGTCTCCGGCGACAGTGATCTCAAATCCATACTGCGGTTAATTCTCGCCGGTGAGTCACATCTTGACTACTTGCCGGTGGGTGGAGCTTCAACCTGTCAAGATTGCTCCTTTTCCCCTTTTCGTACCATTTATTCTTAGCATTTAGCTCATTTAATCTTGGGTTTGAATGTTCTTGACATTTACTTGATACCCATCTTTCATCTTTGCAAGTTTCTGACTGCATAGAAATTTTGAACATCTGTACTGCCTTGCCCTGATGGTTGGATTTGCCTTCTTTCCCCAAGATTCGTTTTTTAGGTGATGATAGAAATCCGTATTCATTATTCGAGGTGCATACGGGATAAATCTCGTGTCTTGTGATCATAGTCGTCAAATAACTAATCTAAATTATTGTTAATAGTTGACCAGTTCAAATCAAGAAGATTAATAGGTCGCTTGAACTGGAGTCAATACTCTGACCAACTTGACTTAGGTTTTCCCATTATTCTAATTTTCTTGAATTATAAGTGTAAGTGTATCAGTGTATGCATAAATCTACCAGAAAAGTTAGCTCTGTTTACAGTGTGAGTGAATAATTAAGGTAATCTCTAATTACACTCAACGTACTGAAGATTGCTTATTTTGAGCTGTCAACTTTGGATGTTAGCAGAACATTGCTCCTATTGGCTCAAATAGGGTCCCATTAGAACCAATGTTTCATATTAAAGGCAACCCCATGTGCTTATTTTATTACCTAATTATTTCTGTGTGCTTAGTTTTGTCTATCTCAATTAAGTGTTCTCCACCTTTTGGTTTGCTTAGGTTCTCTCATGCTGGGTTTCAGACAAGAAAATAAGGTTAACAGTTGCTCTTTCCAGCAGGAGTTCACAGCTTTGTTGGTTCTTTTAGCTCTAGCCTTCTGAATGCATGTCTGCTTTCCAGGTACCAAACTAATAAGGATTCCTTAATTGTACCCAGTTTCTGTTTATATGTTCTACTTCTATAGTTCTATAGTTTATACTTCCAATTTTATTGCTTGAATATGTTGCATAAAGTTGAGCTTGTTTGATTAGAGATTGGTATTGCCTTTGAGTAAAGAGGGTTTCATGTTTATCGTCATTGGTTGCAGTCTTGGCTACTTCTTGGTTTTCCGGTTTTTCCAAATCGTTGTCGGGTACTGGGAGCAGTAACAGATGGCAATTCGGTTGGTGCGTTTTCATGGTGTATAAGTGAATGTGCTGTTGATATGCAGAAGCTAAAGATTGTTTAAATATGCTTAGACTAGAGAGAATTGCCATCGGTTCAATCTTGATTGGATTCTTGTTCTTGTCAGTTGCGTGCTCGAAGATTCCATTAGGTTCCAGGCTGTCTGGGGGTAACGGTTTCTGGGCCTCCGAAAATGGGGATTTTGCGATTGGGTTCTTTAAGTATTGTGGTCAGTATAGTGTTGGAATAAAATTCAATTCGAGTTCTGTTCCGGACTGTGAACAGACGGTTGTTTGGTTTGCGGGAGCTAGTAGGAGGGTAGGGAGTAATTCGTATTTTGAGCTAACTGGACGAGGGGAATTGGTGTTGTTTGATTCTGCTAGTAGGCAGATTGTTTGGACGAGCAATACTAGCAATGCGGATGTGGAATCTGCAGTTCTTGGCAACGATGGTAACCTCGTCCTGCTAGATCGATCCACGAATGTTGTTTGGCAGAGTTTCAGTTATCCATCCGACACGCTTCTCCCGGGCCAGAATTTATCAGCTGGCAGTGTGCTCCGAGCTACGAGCAGGAACTCGGTGGCGAGCGTTTACACTCTTTCAATGGATGTTTCGGGGCAGTTACAGCTTCGGTGGGAAACCAGTGTCGTTTACTGGACCAAAGGGAGCCCTTCTGATTTAGCTGTTCGGGCGATTCTTAGCAGTGATGGGATCCTTCAACTTCTCGACCGAGGGTCTAAATCTGTTTGGTCTGTTTATGGTGAAGACCATGGCGATTCGGATGTGAAGTTTCGGTTTCTTAGGCTAGATTCTGACGGGAACCTCCGGTTGTACTCGTGGGCGAATGGTTCGAGATCGTGGGTGCCCGTTTGGCAGGCTTTTGATAATCAGTGTGGCGTTTTCGCCACTTGTGGGCTTCGTGGCATATGTGTCTACAATGCATCAGGCTCCCATATTTGCAAATGCCCTTTTGCATCTCCTGGCAACTCTTCCTCGGATTGCTTGATCCCGTATGACCCGAATTGTGCTTCGAACTATTCCATTTTGAGGTACAATAACATGTTCTTGTACGGGATCTACCCCCCGAACGAGACAGTCGTACAAACGAGCCTGCAGAGGTGCTGGCGTCTGTGTGACGAAGATCCACAATGCCACGCCGTGTCGTTCATAAACAACGGGAGTGCCCAGTGCAGACTTAAAACGACTCAATACGTTAGCGGTTGGTCAGACACTTCCTCGGGTTCCATTTCTTTGGTCAAGACCTGCTCAGACCCTATGGCTGTTTATCCCTCTCCTATCCCCGTTGTATCGAATTCAAACCCGGAAATCTGTTTGGTTTGCGTGATAGAAGTTTCTATAGCTTCGTGTATCGCGTTTATCCTGATTCAGTTCGGGATTGGTGTTTACATACACAGGAGAAGAAGATACATTGCGATTAAATCCGCTTCTGCATATTCGGTGCCTAATGCTAGTGGCTGTACCATGCTGTCCTACTCCGAGATCAAGGCCTTGACAGAGAATTTCAACGACCCAATCGGGGCAAACATGTTCAAAGGTGTTCTTTCAGATGGGAGGTTCGTCGCGGTTAAACATTTGGATGGCTCGATAGAAGAAAGGAAGTTCCGAAGTGCTGTTCTAAAAATCGGAACCATTTGCCACAAAAGCCTCGTGAAGCTCGAGGCCTACTGCTGTGAGTCGGGTTACAGGTTCTTGGTGTACGAGTACGCCAAGAATGGCTCCCTGGATAAGTGTTTAGAAGATCCCGGGATTTGCAGGAGCCTGACATGGGCGAAACGGGTAAACATATGCCTAACGGTAGCGAGGGCGATGTACTATTTGCACACGGGGTGCAGAGAGTTTATTAGTCACGGAAACCTGAAATGCCAAAACGTGGTATTGGACGATGAACTGGGAGCTAAGGTGAGCGAGTTTGGTTTAAGGGTACTTCTTCGCGGGGAACCCAACAACGAGGAGGGTCCGGGAGAGACAGACGTGCGAGATCTTGGTAGGATGATGGTGGTTTTGATCACCGGATGCCAAGATGCAGACGAGGCTTGCAAATGGGCATATGAGAGATGGGTGAGAGGCGAATCGGAGGTAGTGACTGATAAGCGAATGGAAGGTGGAGTCAATTTAGACGAGGTGGAGTGTATGCTAAGGCTTGTGTTTTGGTGCGTGCAAGGGGACGAGCGAATGAGGCCTTCAATGGGCGAGGTCGTGGAGGTATTAGAGGGTAGACTACCCGTCGATCCGCCTCCTCCTCTTTACTGTCACCACAATCAAACGTCGCCTGAAGACGAGCAAACATCCACCCCATCATCCACTTCGGGCTTGTAATCTGATTCCCAATTTGGTTCAAATATATATATTTGTCATTGAACTTTATTTGTCATGTATAGTAGAGCTAACTGTGAAGCACCATGTAGAATACAATACCCAGTTTTAGCACTTGAGCCACTGGCCATTTTTAACTTTAGAATTAGGCCATTCTGCTGCATCCTTTCCCCATCTGAACTGTAATTTAAGTGCAGTCTGATATATGCATTCTTGAAATAGCGTAATTGTTGAATCAACACGAGGCAATCCCAGCTAGTTTGGTCGGGCTGTTGGCTTGATAACCACAAGGTTCCAACTTCAACTCCCAATGGGAGCGGCATATTGGTCTTCTTAGTTTGAACTGGTCAGCTATGGACAATCTTAGTTGGTTTACCTCCTTGTAGTCCTTGCTGGCTAGAGCCACATCGCGGGGATTATCTAATACATACTCTCGAATAGTGACTATGAATTTCCCGACGGTTCCAACCAAGAAATTTGGATTTCTGCACTAAAAGGCTATTGTATTAGTGAAGGAAGTTGTTAGTTGTCAACTGTCAAACATAGATAATATGATTTGGTCTTTGGCTCAAATTTGTTTGTTGGTTTTCATGAAACCAACATAGAATGCCACCCTGCATACATAATTTCTTGATTGATTGTGGTGGTTGGAACCAACTTCTGGTCAAAGAAAGATACAATCATTTGGGAAGAAAGTTGAGTATTAGCCAAATATAATGCTGTTTCTAGAAATGGACCTACCTACTATTTCCTTGACAAATGAAGAATTAGGTGAGGGTGGGAAGACTATCTCAATCCAGAGATAGGGTATACTACTAATCTCACCTGCAATGGAATTTTTAAATTACTTATCAACTTAGAGTTGAATGATCGTTAAAAGTGAATCTTGAACATAGCCCCTAACTTGCAATCGTTATGCCATGGAACCGTGTTCACCATGGATGGTGAACAAGGTCCCAAACGGTAACGGTGCCCGTAAGTGCCGTTATCTTCCACCAATCTTTTTTTTTTTTTTTAATTAACAGCGCGATTTTTCTTCTTCATTTTCACATTTCGGGGTTTCAGTTCCTCTTCACGCAAGCTTCTTCAACACTCATAAATTATGAATGTGCAGACACAGAAAATTCATAATTTAATAAATGTAAATTCATAATCTGAACATAGAATGCAAAACGCCGTTAACAGCATATTAACTAAATTTCTTTTTTTTTTTTTTTCCGATAAAAACGACGCTGTTTAGAAACGTATTCACAAAGCAGGGTGAACACATTTTTACGGCATAATTTGCGCCTAACTTGAAGGCCAACTTATTGGTGGATAAACTGAGCCCAAAATCAGTGGGCTATTTCTTTAATCTTGATTACAAATTTTGAAATGGTAGAAAGGCTAATCCATCTTCAAATTTGAAGTGCTTAATCCAATTCAGGTATGTGCCCAATCTAGGAAAGAACAAGAGCTTAGAAACATATATATATATATATATATATATATATATATATATATATATATATATATATATATAAACGAAACAAATTACAAGAAATGTGGTCATGTAACGCCAACACTATCCATTGTTAGGATAGGGTATGCTCCAAGATCACATGCAAATTTATTATTTACATATGCTAACAAATAAACTAACAAATTGTCGCACCAAATTTAAGGATTTCAAGATTAGAGGTAAATCGTTAGATGTGTCTCAATTGGCCTATATGTCTCCATACTAAATATTTGTACACTAATATTAACAAGGTCAAATTCATACCTCTATTTTTCAGTCCTCAGTAAGATTCGAATCCTGCACCCTACAATTGTAGCTAGTAAAACTAAACTTTTCGGATCAACTTATTTTGATTGATTGTACCCAAGGCAAAGCGAACAAATTCGAATATTAAAGAAAAGTGATGGTAGTTATTATTGCAGTCCATATTTGGCTGCCCAAAGGTGAAGTAGACCCATGGAATTGATTGAGCCCTCCATTGTTGGATATGAAGAAGACATCATTTTAATTAGTTTAATTTATTCCACCTCATAATGCTCATCATTACTTAGGTGTTAGAGATCATCATATTCATCTTTGCTTAAAGTGGAATGAAATGCATCACAAGGAATATATCAACTTTGTGTGCATAGCAAGAAAATTACGAAGAAAACCTTATACACAGTATACCTTTATGATATATAAAAGTATAATTTTAAAATGTGTAAATTCTAAATATGCATCATATAAAATTATAAAATACATCATAGGATGCATGCATTTTTTATGTTACATATCACAAGTTACATATTATAATTTTACGTGATGTATGTGCAAGGCTGGGTGCATATTTTTATTTGATTTGTCTCTTTATCAACATTATATTATATCAAAATATGTGTGTTTTGACAATTGACAAAATATGTTTTTTTTTTCATTGTTTACATATAAATTGATTAATCTAAATACAAGTTTCAAGCTCGAATTTCCGTATGAGTGGTCTATTTGTTTTCTTAGTTTGAGCTAGTTAACTGACTAAGGTCACAAAGTAAGATTTACTAAATACCTATCGAGTTCTACTACTTGTACTCTCTAATTTTACTCCTTGATGTGGCAGATTCTGATAAGTTATTTTTTTATGTGGGTCTCAATACAAGTGTCTACATCAACGTTTTGTGTGAGAGTACATGTAGTATTTTTCATACATATCTTCAAATAATAACGATAAATTTCTTCAGTACCCAAAAAAAAAAAAAAAAAAAAAAAAAAAAAAAAGTGACATCGTACGTCCAACGTTACTAAAATTTTAAAAATAGTTACGTCGCACATGGACGCATATGTAATTGCACATATATATATCGTACTTGTTGTTTCATTGTTTAGGGCATATAATTGGAGCGCGAAAGTAGGGGACGCGTGGAAAGTTGACGGTCGCCATCGTGAGGTGTGTGTCGTCTTCCGCTGTTAGGAAGTAGCTGATTGGTGAAACCTCGCCACCTAACCATCCGACAACGGGACCGCACTTAACGCCGTCATCTCGCCGTCAGCTCACCGTGGTCGACACGTGGCCTTTTCTGCCGCTCCGGTGGGTCCACCCGGGCCCACACTTCACTTATGTCCAGGGACACGTAGCCACTTTCCGATGTCGAAAATGTCAGCACGACAGCACCTGCAAATTATTATATTAAGTACTCCCGGGGGGTGCAAAATCGTTAAATTATTAATTTTTTGTTTGACGAGTTTGACCCTGTGGAATTCCAGCCATTTAACCTTGCCTCCCCAATTTTGGTAATTTTACTTTTGTCCTTTACATAGAATGAATGCTAATTTTGCCTGTTTTTCTCCCACTCAAATTATTATCTGCCACGTTGCACCACACTTTTCTACATTGGGGTCACTTATAGTATTTTTTGTTTTTTTGTTTGTTTTTTTTAATTATCGGGGATGGGATAACCCGGGAAGAGAGACTGACTATTAGCTCTCCCTCACTTGACGAGCACAAGTAACACGAGCCATTTCGTTAAAATCGGCTTCCTCTCTGGCCAAGGGGCTGGTCACTTATAGTATTTAATAAGAGTATAAGACAATAAGTATTTAAAAAGTTGAGGGAAATTTTGTAAAATTAGTTTGAAAATTGACTTGATAATCATAACATTTGAAATTTGACTGCAGTTATTTTTTGCCTTCTTAAGCTTATACTTCCTAACTAAAGGTATAGGAATACAAGTTATGATAACCTCAACAATGACAGTGTAGGGATTATGCTTAAAGTATGCTGATTTCTTGGTGCGCACCGACATTTGACCATGTCTGCTGAGTCATTGAGTCACCGTGATTTACATTTTTCCAAATGTTCTGTTGGGCAGAGGTGTGAAGGACCCTTGGAGTTGGAGATTCAACTTTTTGGGAGAAAAATTAAAGATAATACTATAATTGAACATGTAATGTAAAATTAGGCTAGATAATTTATGATTTTTTTTCTAAGATACTAATTGATATCGATGCTTTTTGCACAAAATATAACTAAACATAGTATACATAATTGTATTTGATACTATGTGGACACATGTTAATTATAATTATAATTATACTACTTGATACCATAAAAATTCTCATTATTTAATTCGATATTGTTATTTCTAGGCCAGCAACTATAAATGGCGCGGCAGCTAAATGAAATCATCATTGAATTGAAACCCTAATTTCAAGACACTTAGCCGAAATTCTTTAGGATAGGGTTGTGCAGATTATTCCTTAGTTGGTACAAATTCTTGAATTGAAACCCTAATCTTATCTAACCTAGCTCACTTATCTCTTTTCTTTATACCTTTTAGTGGCATTTTGGCTAAGGTCAAGTTTACCCCACATGTTACCAATTCAATATTTGAAAATGTGTATTGACTATGCTCCAATGCATAATAGTTTACAAACTACACAAAAAATATTCGTTTATGTGTAATTACTCATAACCCATACAAAAGAGATAAATCACACTAAGAAAATCTTGTGTAGCAAGGTCGACCAAAAAGATACTGGTAAGAATCAAATTTGTGATCTTCTGATACGAAAATCATGTTACACCCTTCTCAGAACACTATATATTGTTACTAGTTTCTTTCTCCAGGCCAATAGTCCGTCAATTACACATAAAAAATAAATCACACTATGAAGACCTTATAGAATGGACTTGAATATGTTATCAAGAACCGAACACGTGTGCTCAACCCACTCAGCTAGACAGCCCCCATTTTCAAGGGTCGATGATATAACCTATTCAAGAGAAACCCTTATAAAATGATGTCTAATGACAACATGACACGTTAAAATTTGCTAAAACTTTTAATAAAGCTGTCGTTACTATACGATGAGATGGTCCTAGATTGAGTTTTGCACCTTTGAATATTCACACATCACCCTCTCTCTCTCTCTCTCTCTCTCTCTCTCTCTATCTCTCTTTCACTCTCTCTGTCGTTTTCATCTTCTACTGCTACATGGAATCCACGCATGAACCCCAAACAAAATAAAATAATAATAATAATAATAATTCTTATAAGTATCGAAGTTCCCCCAGGCAGTGTCGATGCATTTCCACAAACAGAAAGCTATCTACAAAGACAAACAACGTTAGAAAGTAGTTCAGTTCCATTTCTATCCATCTCTTCAAGTAAGCATCAACCCTCTCTCCACCACTTATTTATATTTTTTTTTTCTTCAAAAAAAGCTCCCTTTTTTTTTTTTGAATTCTGGGCATTTATGTTGCTTATATACTAGATCAGGAAAGGTGGGAGAGGGTTATGGGGTGTTTAAATCTGGCATGATATTGGGAAACTTGTTTTCTGGGGATTAACCATATATATTCTATATATATTTATGTGTATATATCATTTCTTGAAATTCATAGATCATATATAGTCTTTGCTGTTGGCATTCATGAAATCCAGTTTTTTGAGCTGCTGTTTTCTGTTTTCTTTCTTTTAGGTCGGGTGGTTGGGGGGGGGGGGGGGGGTTATTCTATATTACTATATATATATGGTTGTTGAAGATAGATCATATCACCAGTGAGGATATGATATATATATGTTGATCTGAATTGAATAAGGTAGAGAAATATGGACCGCCTGCTGCTACTGTTTGTTTCCCTGTTAAAGTTTGTGGTAATGTTAGGTAAACACAATTTTTATAGAATTAAATGATTTTATTTAATTACTTTGTACTTTATAAGAATTAGTTAATTTACTGGACTGTGATATATACGGAGTAATAAATATAGAAAGTTGTGAAATACTGTATGTTTTGTTTTTGGGTAAAAGTTTTGTTAAGTTTTATTCGAAAAGTGTGGCTGGATGAGTGAAACATGATTCTTGTACCAGAAGGTCAAAAATTTGATTATTGTCAACACATTCTTGGTCGAACCCGTTGCCCGCACAAGATCTTTTTGGTACTATGTATCATTTTTATGTGATTTGTGGACTATCACACAAAAATTGAGTTTACTCAGTGCACATCATTTAATAGTCAGATTTTGTTCGTCACCTAAAAAACATATATAAGAGGAAAAACACATTTAGGGAAGAGAAAATGTAGTGTATTTGAGCCTCGAGAGACCGGTAAGTATGGGAGATTTAAAGAATAATATTTGTTTTGAAATAAAAATTGATGAAATTTACATTTTTTTTCCCGAGTAATAGATCGAGATCTTTATCTCTTATTATCAAATGCATGACTAAAATTAATTTTTTTTTTTTTAAAAAAATAATACAGTATTCATTATTAGTTTTCCTCCGATTTTAGAAATGATGCTATTTTATACCACAAAAGAATATTTGAAGTTAAAGTGTTTTAGTACCATTATTTTTTCTAGAAAACATCTTAAGTGTTTGATCGTTTTAAGTGCCATATATATATTAACGAGGAAAATTCAACTCACATATAATAGTCCGCAAATCGTATAGGAGTGACAAATCACACTAAAAACCTTGTGTGATGGACTTAACTCAGAGAGTATTGGCGAAAATCAAACACGTGAACTTTTGAATTGGCCTAGTACAAAAATTATGTTTCATCGACTTGGACACCCTTTATAGAAAAGGTGTCATATATTTTGTACATGTGAGTGTATCGATACAATTAGAAACTATTACCAATTATACACGATAAAATCAGCATACATAATGATAACAAATGCAATCAACACTGCACCATCGACAGTATAAACTTTCCCTATATTTTTTGTCTCCAATATATTTCCCACCCATACAAACACATTATACCATTATTTTTTCTAAAAAATAAAAATAAAATGTTTGATAGTTTTAGGTGTCATATATATATATAGACAAGGGAAATCCAACTCTTGTATAATAATTTGTAAAACCATATAGAAGTGGCAAACTAAACCACATTATGTGCAATGAACGCAGCTCAATTAAGAGGGTGTTAGCAAGAATCAAACTGGGTGATCTTTTGATATGAAATTACAAAAATATGCTCTACACACTTCACCACCCTTTCCAGATAAGTGCGTGTCATATATTATGTACACAATTGTATCGATACAATTAGAAATTATTACCAATTATACCTGATAGAATTAGCATATATACATGCATGACGATACTGAATACAATCAACATCACACCATTCACATTATAAACTTTCGCTATATTTTCTTTCTCCAATATATTTCCCATCCATCCAAACACATTCACAAGTCAGCACAAGAGTAGTTAATTAGCTGCAGAATGCAGTAGCCTCTTCATGTTGTCTAGGCCAGTCAAGTTTAGGAAATTTTGGAGACAATCAGACAACTCCAACTAATTAGTTGGTCAGCCTGTTGGTTTGGTAACTTATAAGATTTTAAGTTCGACATTTAGTGAGAACAATCTATTGGTCTTCTTGGTTTAAGCCAATCAGTAATGAACAACCTAACCTGGTTTATCTCCTTATGATCCTTTTGTTGGTTAAAACCACAAGACCATATTTACCTGGTGCACACCCTCAAGGGTAGTGGTTGAAGATTTCTCCCGTCACCCCAAAAAAAAATCTACGAAATTTATATCATTTTTCTGACAAGGGTTTGTGTTTCTTCTACCATTTAGCAGGTGTGAATATATACACATTATTATGCAACAGATTAGAAGAAGCCAAATGGCATCAGATGCAATGAGCAGTAGTGGTACACCTGCAAGTTCCTGCACAATTGGTTCATTCACCTGGTGCCAAGCAATGGTGTCCAGAAATCCATGGAATAACACATTATATGAAAACAGTAGTGCTGTTGATCCAGGGAATAATGCAACATCTGCACATATGCTCTGGGAAGATAATGGAGGAATGCACCATACTGCACCAGAGCCTAAAGGGTTTACAGAACTGCACACATCAGGTATGGTATTGCAACTACTTATGATGGTTGTCATTATCTCGTGAGAGTCAGGCTCTGATACCATATAAGAATGAGAGAAAAGAGTTTCTATACATCTGAATAGTGTACAATACAAAGTATAAATAGAAGAGATGTCAGCAATAGTTCTAGACCTTCCTTCATGGGCCTTTGCCCCCTGGGCCATATGCACTTTGGGTATCCCTTCTTGCACCAATCTTTATATATCCATCAATACTAGTGTTTTAAAAGATCATTAAGAGAATCAAATCGAATTGAATCAAAACTCTTGTCACTTCTAGGACTAGAAATGAGTTTGGTACTTTTTTTTTAGTATACTATAACTCTTAGATCTGATGTTCTTATATATGCAGATAAAAATTGCAAAGTGGAAAGTGAAAATGTTGCAATGTCCCCGCACCATTCTAGGCCTGCAACTGAACATGACCTTATGGGTCACTCTATTGTAAGCTCTAATCTCTCTCAACCCACTTATATATCCACCCTTGCAAGTTCTTAGATTGTTTCTGCATCTAAATCATGATTGATTAACCTTAACAGGATTGTCCAATTTCATGTTTTTTCTTCAGCAGTGTGCACCATATCCCTATACAGAACCTGCTTTCCTCGGTGCAGCTGGTGGAGAGTCTGTGGTAAGTAAGTTGTAGGCCCTGTTTAGTAAAATACTTAACCTATCAGCCAATTTTAACTTGTTTAACTTGGTTAAATAATCAATATGAGTGTTTAATTAATTAATTTTTTGTAACTGCTTATTGTTCCAAAACACTAAAATTCAAAAAGTTGTTCAAAGCAACTTTTTAGATCAATTTTTTGAGAAAGTCATTTTTTATGTAATCCGCTATTAGCTAACAGCTAATTTACCAAACATCTTTTTACAATCAGCTAATGTTATCAACTAGTCAAACCCACTAACCCAATCAGCTAACAGCTATTTACCAAATACCCAAACTAAGAGCCAAGATGAAACAAACCTCGGATTATCATTACAATATAATGTTTGTTAAACTATGAGGTTTTGTTTGTTTTCTTGAAATTAAAAACATGTAAGGTTCATCAAAGTGCACAAGGAGTGAGAATGGTGTTGCCGCTGGAAGTGACGACAGAGGAGCCTGTTTATGTGAACGCCAAACAGTACCATGGAATTCTCAGGCGAAGGCAGCTCCGGGCAAAGGCTGAGCTGGAAAACAAAGTGGTTAAGAACAGAAAGGTCCGTGCAGTGTTTACTTCAATTCGATCTCCCGTTTTATAAGTTTCTTCTATAACCTATGAATCTTGATTCTGTGTTAATTATGATATGATGCTTCAATTCAATTCATTCCCTGCAGCCTTATCTTCATGAATCCCGGCACAAGCACGCCATGAGAAGAGCCAGAGACGGCGGGGGCCGCTTCGTGAATAAAAAGAAGTCTGATTCCACAAGCAACAACACCCCCCCATGCAGCAGCAACGTTAACTCCAGTGAAGCCAAGAACTGTATTTCAGACAGCCATGGCTGCCCAGGCTCTGAAGCTTCTGGGATGCAGGGCAGTGCAGAATATGTGCAGTGGGGTTATGAGTATCAGCGTTTCAAAGTCATGAAAGACTGGGTGTGAACTGAAAAAGAAGAAGAAGTCTGGAGATTGGAGAATACATACAATCTCTGAATCTATCTCCCCCATATATATACTTATGTATAATGTGGTTGGTCTGTCTCTGATCTGATCTGATGATTGTGTAGAATATGTAAGGTTGGAGAGAATAACATACATACATACATGTTTGATCTTGGCAAGCAGCTATAAGTGTAATGGCTGCTGGCTTGAATTGGCTTTTACCATTCATTTTCTCAGGCAATTCATTCTTGGCTAATACTTCATAGTTGCGTGTAAGCTATGGAGAAACAGATGGAAGAAGAAGACCTAAGCTCATAGCTTAGCTTGTTATTGGCTTATTAGCTAATGTGATGTTTGATCAATGCAATATATACGTGTACTTGTTAATTCAACTAATTAACCAAAGGAGTATATACTACATTAATACATATGTTATTCTTGATGATTTACGGGAAATCCTGCACCCGGCCCGCTACTCAAAAGTACACTTTGAATATCTGACAAAGGATCACAATGAAATAAATCAGCTTAGGTTACACATAGCTAATTGGTTCAGACCAAGAAAGTCAACAGACATGCCTTATAAAGAGTCGAACTTGGTACATATGTTATACTAATCGAATTTTGAGCAATAATCAAGAAAGCTACAAGTAACGTAGTGAAGTCACACCAATACAATTAGCAGTCAAGATAAGTTTAAGACGGTTGAAAATGATGTCCAAGATCACATCCTTCTTGAGCTAATTAATTTTGAAGATCACATCCTTCTTGCAACCCTATTATTTATTGTTGTGTGTATAGTAATGAAATAAAAGATATGCCATAATTATATTGTATGGTCAATCATATGAGGCTGCAGGAATATGAATATAAATGTTGAATGGGTGTGGAGTTATGGTTATGGGCCACACATAACTGAAAATCAACTATACCACTTGCCTTCCACTTTCCTCTCTTCATTTTGAATGGGACCGCAGAGACTTTAGACCGCTGACACATTTTTTTTATATAGAAATCAGGTCGGGAAAAAAGTCCTAAATAAGATTCTAGAACACAAATTTAATTTAATTATAAGTAATACAAGTTTGCACGAAAAAAAAACTAAAAAAAAAAAATGATTGATAATTAATTAAGTAATAAAAATTCGTAATAAAAATTCTTTATAGTGAATTTTTATTAATCGTATTACCAAGTCAAACAGAAATTTCGTGATAAATTATTTTGAGTGAATGAAGGAAATCATTTTATATCACGTAAAAAAAAAAAAAAAAAAAAAAAAAAAACTCCTTAACAAGTTGTTTTGAGTGAAGGAAAGAAAATTCTCCTATAAAATATTGATCAATAAAAAATTTTAATAGTCAATTTTAACTGTTCATCTTTTGTCACGTCAAATAAAAAATTCTTCAGTGATAAACCATTTCAAATGATTGAAGGAAAGAGAATTGTTATCTAGTATTTTGATTAATTAATAAACTCTTTATAGCCAAGTTTGACTAAATCATTTCAAATTGAAATTTCATTGTTCATCGATAAATGATTTGGAGTGGGCAAAGAAAAGAGTGTAATGAATAAGACATAAATTTTGAGGTTCCACAACTACAAGTGGTTGATTTGGGTTACACATAATGAACACCTAGCCACTCCTTTTCTGCCACCGCCAGCTAGGGTTTGGCCCACCGCCGTCGTGTCTCGCCTCATCTTCTCAATTCTCATGCCCCACTCGCCACACCTTCCCTGCCACCGCCAGCTAAGCTCGCCGCCGGAGAATAGCTTTACCAGCCTCCTTTCAAACCCCGGTTGAAATGCCAATCCGATCTAAAATACCCTCACTTCCACCGAATTTCACGTTTAAATCAAATCACATCAAAACAATTCAGTCAAATGAACTGTTTTAACAACCTATTTGACCTTCCTGTGTTCGTGTTTGATAAACGAACAGAACAATTACAAACTCGTGTGGTGTTCGTCAAATAATCTTTACGAACAAGTTCATTTAGTGTTCGTTTAATGATATTTACGTACATGTTCAATATATAGTCGTTGTGTTGTTTATTTGATTATTGTTGCGATAATGAACATATGTAAGTGTTTAGTTATTAAGCATTCATGAACGTGAACAAGCATGTTAACGAACGTGTTCGTTAATACATTCGTGAACATATTCGCGAACGTTAACGAACACGAACAGAATTTTCAAAAACCTTAACAAACAAACACGAACAACCCTCGTTCGTTCATGTTCAATTCGTTAACAATCCTACTAATCAGTTATGAACAAAAGTGAGTTTACCTCCTTATAATTCTTTACCGATTAGAGTCACAAGACAGTATTTACTCAGTATCAACAAACATAAAATTCAATGTTATGAGTCAGCATATGCATGCATCCATGACTGAAATTGAAGCTAAACACTGACAGAATCATGAAAGAAACTGCAAAGTTCACATTTTTTTTCTTTTCTTTTCACAGTTCCTGAATTCCTCTGTTACAAACCAGAATCCTGTGGTGATACTACCAAGAACTGGCCTAATCTCTGCCGCATGAATCTCAAACCCTTTCTTTTTCTTTCTGTTGAATGCTCAAATCGTTTATGGTTACTTGAAAAAAAAAAAAAAAAAAAAAAAAAAAAACGAAAACGAAACAAAACAAAACAAACAAACTTCGAGTAAAACTGAGAGCTTGCTAGTTTTCGGTTTAATCAGGAAAATGTTAGCTAAGTTGTTCCATGCCTGTGGAAGAATCAATGGCACGCAGGTTTAGTCCTCTCGTTCGTCCCGGTGCCCCTCCCCTGAGGGAAGATAAGTCGAGAAGAAATCTGCATAAAAGATGTCGGGAACTAGATTCAAAACCAAGATGTATATAGTAGGTAGATATATATCGGGTGTAATTATCGGAATATGCCATACGTTTTGTTTGATGTCTTTCCGTGTTCTGCAGAATTAGAGTTAATCAGTATCTTCTTATCGATAATCGACACAGAGCAATCCGTGGGCAAGTCAGCTAATTGTGGACCTGCATTTGCGACAAAGTAAATTTCAAAGGGCATAAATTCACAACTTGACCGGTAAGAGATTCAAGGCTTTTCGTAGATAACTTACATGTTTTATCAACGGTTTTGACACCTTCGCTAAGACCCAATATTGTCTACATGAATTCAAACGGGCATTTTGTCACATTCGGTGTTGGCATTTGGCAATACCATTATATATATATATATATATATATAGTTAATAAACTTTAATCCGGAGAGATATATATATATAGATTCAAAGGCAACACGAGGATCAAGAATCACCTTAAGAGACTTGTAGCATGTCTCGAGGTCATCATTGACCAAGATATGATCAAAGAGGCCAGGCGACTTCCCTTGTTTAAGCTCTTCCTTAGCATTTCGGAGACGCTTTTGGACCTGTTCTTCGGTCTCGGTTCCCCTGTTCAAAAAATCAGCAACCTTCATATCAGTCAAAGAGCCATCTAAGATGATATAACAACGCCACATAACAAGGCCTAGCCCACCTTGCCCGAAGGCGCTTCTCCAGCTTTTCAAATGACGGGGGAGCGATAAATATGAAAATGGCTTCGAGAGAACTAGCCCTTACAGATCTTGCTCCTTGAACATCAATATCAAGAATGCATCGCTACAAAAACACAGGAGCCATTAGCAAAGGCAAAATCAAGAATATCCAACTGAAAGACAAGATAACGAAACATATAAAGTACAAACCTTGCCAGAATCTGCAACCACTTCGACAGCTTCTACACTAGTTCCATATAGATTCCCATGAACATTGGCAAACTCTAGGAACTTCCCGTCCGTTATCTCTCTCTCCATTTTACTTCGCTCTGTAAAATGGTAATGAACACCGTTTTGTTCCTTCTCTCGTGGAGCCCTGGTGGTGTGGCTTACAGAAAAGCCAAACATGGATGGGAATTCATCCATTAATTTCGATATTAATGTTCCCTTTCCCACTCCCGAAGGACCGCTGATGACAATGGGCTTCTCAGCATCACCTATAACTCCCTTGCTCCAGGCAACCACCTCAGTTCCACAACTCTTAGCTTGTTGTCTTACGAAAGGGGTATTCACCTGCAAATAAGTCAAAAACCTTTTATTATACGAAATAGATTTTAAGTGAATTCCAAGAAAGATAACCAACAAGAATTAACAAAGTTATATCTACACTTTTAGCTTTGAAACAGTAAAATTGAAACAATCGTTATGAAGGGGGTAACACTTAATTGGTATGTTTCAAAATTGGATTTTGATGCAATTGTGTGTGAGATCTACTCACATAAACTAAAAACAAATGCATCATAATTGGCCCTGTTTGGTAAATGGCTGTTAGCTGATAGCTGATTGGGTTAATTAGAGGGTGTAACTAGTTGATAACATTAGTTGATTGTAGAAAGGTGTTTGGTAAAAATTAGTTGTTAGCCGATAGCTGTTTGGTATAATTTCCTTTCTCAAAAAGCTAATTGAAAAAGTTGTTTTGAACAGCTTTTTGATTTTAGCATTATGGAGTTACAAAAAGCTAATTAACCAAACACTTATATTGATTTTTTAACTAAATCAAAAGGCTAATAGTGATCAAATAAGCCAAAATTGGCCTATAGGCTAACTATTTTACCAAGAATTTAGCTTCACTAACCTCAAGAAACCAAAAGCAGTCATCCACGGGGGAGTTCCTCTTGACAACTAATATCCGGTCTTCTATTAAAAGCACGGCTGAGAAGCCCTCAGGTGCCTTGAGCTTTGTCCCCAAAACGGTAGGGTTTATCCTGCAAATTGGAGAAGATATTGTTCATCCACGAAGAACAACAGCACCACTGTTCTAGCCACACCAGAAAGAAAACTCACCATTTCCCAGTAGCTTTATCATAAATTTGAACTCCAATTGTGGATTTCAGTTCATGATCAGCCCCACCACCAATCACATACTGATAAGAATATGGAGGCAGAATATGTGTTCATAATTACACAATCTTTATCCATTAAGGTGTAAAATAAAACAGAAAAAGATCAAATCAGCATGTTGTAATCAATCATACTGTTTTGCTCCCAACATCAATGGCTGTTTGGTTGCCCTTAGGCTTCAAATCAACCCCACTGGGAAATTCTCCAATCACATTCTCTACAACAAAAGCTGGAGCTTCACCCTAGAAACAACATAGGATTAAACAAAACAAAACAAACAGTCAGATCAAAAACCAAGAACCAACTTCTACTCAACAATTTCACTGCACTGTAAACTGCCATGAGATTAGGGAATCTTTGATATAAACTCACCATTGAGACACTCAAGATTCAACCTTGGGACTGAAGCCTCTAGCTCAAAGTTCGACCTGATAAACCGCAAATTAAAAAGCTCTCAATTTCACGTAAATCTCCAAATCACAATAAACGAAATTAAAAGCTAAACCTTATAAAGCATTGGCCAATAAATAACCCCCAAAAAAAATAAAAACCCGAAATTTAAGCATTCCAAAGCAACGCCGCTACGAGTTTCGAAATCCAATAAAGTTACAGACTTTAATAAGAGAGCAAAGAAACAAAGACCTAATAATCATTTAGAAAACGAAACCCATTGCGTATCACATTGCCTTCAGAAAATTCCGAATCGAATCTATAGAAAGCAACCCAGAGGTCCAAAATCACGCCATGCTTCCCAACACAAAACGTATACGTACGAGAAAATAATAATAATAATTTAAAAATAAAAAAAAAAAAACGAAATGAATCTGGAGAGCAGGAAAAGTACCCGAAAACAGGGATTCTTGGTGGCTTTCTGTTAGGAATGAAGAAGAGGTGGAGAAGGAAGTTTTGTTGAATGGGGCGTTGGAGTTCAACTACGGATCTTCACGATTTCAAAGCGGGACTAACTTACAATTGAAAAAGCCAGCGGCTTTAAGGAGGAAGAAGAAGCTGCAAGAAAGTTTGTGAGATCTTCCCATATTTGTAGGCGCAAAGAGAGAGAGACGGAGAGATGGAGAGAGAGAGAGAGAGAGGAGGCCGCTGGGGAGGCTCCCTGGTCGCATTCAATTCTGAAACAACAAGCCAAGTCGGCTATACCCTTTTTCTTTTTTCTTTTTTTTTTTAATCTTTTTTAATTTTTATTTTATACGGAAGCTCTGTTTGGCAAACCTAGCTGAAAAACTATAAGCTATGAGCTAAAAGTTAAAAATGAGCTGAAAGCTGAAAAATTATAAGCTAGGAGCCGAAAACTGAAGAGCTGTTATGATTGAAAGTGTTTAGTAAAATTAGCTTTTTGGACATCTTTTACAAATTTAAAGTAGTTTGTTTACCTATTAAAAGTTAACATTTTGTCTTCAAAAAAAAAATTAACATTTTGAAATAAAATTATTAGCATAATCATAATCTAGCATTTCATAATGAAGTAGCAATATTGTTGCGAATCTCCTTCATTCTATAATAATAATAATAATATAATAATAATAATAAGGATGAAAGTCTATAAAGGAGAAGATAAAAACAAAGATAGAAAAAAAAAGTTAAGAAGCTAGTAGTTTATTGCTTACCGCATCAACTGAGGGAGGCTCGAACCCATAACTTTCCATTTGAGAGAGTCACTTCATGCCGCTTGACCACAAGATCTTTAGCAATTTGGCATAATGTTAAATATTTGTATCTAAATACCATGTTTATATTTAAAATGACAATGTTAATAATAAATTATTGTAATACATAGTTATTTTTAAATTCAAATTCCTATCTTATACAATCACTGGCTACTATCCGTATTTATGTCGCACTATATAATTAAGAGGATATTGATAAAAATTAAACTTGTAATAATATTTATATACATTAATAATAATCCTTTAACTCAATCATCAATTCTAGGGCATTTGATGTTCTTTTTATTCATAATAAATGAGCAATTCATTACAATATTTTAAATAAAATTATTTAGTTATTGTCAGTAAGAGCAATTGGAAATTGAAATTCATAAGTTTTAACAATTTGTAAGTCAAACAAACACTAATTGGAGTAATTGCTAACTTCATTACTAGCCCCCTATAGCCTTACAGTAAAATGCTATTTAAACACGATTACAATTTACAAAATCTAGGTCGGACCACACTAATGTAGTAATGTGTTCATTAAATATTTTTCTTTAAAAATGTTATTTAAATTAATTTTTATACAACATTTTATAATATAAAGTTGTGTCACATTTTCGTACTAAAATCACTCTATAATATTTATTCTATCCATATAATTTTGTCTATATTTATTTACTATCGTCTAAATTTTATTTTATTTTGGTGATGGTGGAAACCCTCAATTACTACTTGAATGTACACTCTGTAAATCTTGCTTCCTTGTAATAGCCCGCGAACCACGCATGTAAATTCGTAACCTTTAAGAAAGAGAAAATCAAAACGTTCATGATCAACTATTGTGACGACTTTTCCGTATTATCCAATGAACACCGACACTATCATTCATAAAAAACAACTTAATTTCAAGAGTGGGTCACACGATTATCTATTTTTTTTTTTTAACTTACAGTACGATTATAAACTTATTACAAAGTATTTATTAACTATTCATAAATTAATTGATGAAACAAAGTCACATATATTAATTATAAAAGATTTAGTAAAAAGATTTTGATTATACATACAATTCACAAAATTTTGTTGACTATAACGATCTATAAATCATGAGAATGTGCATGGGATAAACATCGCACCCTGCGTAATAATAAATTTTTTGTTTATGTGGTCTAATCGCACCATTTGAAAGATTATGAGTTCGAGCCTTAATGGAAGCGTTACTGGTTCTTTGTGTTTCAGTAGGTTGAAAAAGTATATGAACAGATATTACAATGTAATAGAGCTAGTAACTTTATTTAATTGATCATTTTTTAACAATAAATTTTGTCTTCAATAGTTAGATTCGTAAGCCTAACCTAAGGTGGGGATATGAAGACAATTTGGATACCAGTACACCACGCAACTTACACGGTCAACAAAATCTTGAAATTGCCATGTCAGGTGCACTGCACGTGATACCGTCTTTCTATTTCTCCCTTTTTTATTAGTTTAATAATTGACTTTAATAATTTTGTAATCTACACGAAAATATGCATTGGGAGAGTTTCCGGATAGAGTTTTATGATAAATCAATTTCATACAAATCAAAAGTTAATATGCTTATTGGATTATACTTAATAAAACAATAAATCATGCATAATCATTAATATATATATATATATATATATATATATATATATATATATATATATATATATATATATATATATTTGTGTGTGTAATGAAAAAACAGATTACATGTCACTTCATATATAATTTCATATCATGATTTGACCAATTAATTGAATTGAGTGTTATTCTTATACGCATTGGGTTCACGGAATGTTAAATTATCTTACAAAATGTTAGATGATTCTTTGGAATGTTAGATTATTATGTTTAATTAAGATTGTGGTATGTAATATAAACATATTTAGTTCGAATAATATTAAATACCTTTTATGTTATATTTTATTTAATTTAATACCCTTAACATATCTTTCATATATCTCAATAAACTTTAAAATTAGAATAAATAAACAAGATAATTGTATCATATATAATTACATGATTTTAAAATAATTAACTAAAAGTTTGAACTTGAAAACCACAATTATTTTATAAGCTAAAATTAAATTAAAATGACAAAATTTATAAATATTCATGATTTTTTTTTTTTGTTTCCGTTATCCATGGTAATCTTAGATAACTTAAGAATTGTAAGTGAATCACATTCCTCTCAAAATCTTACATGGAGTGTATGTTGCGCATTCCTCGATGAATGTTATATTCCCCTTAGAAAGTAAGATAATATAAATCAAACATGTGAATGTAAGCGTTTGGAATATCTAATTTCCTTATGTATAACTTAAACCAAACACTTATAATTTTACTACAAATACTATCAATTCCTACTTCATTACTTCCACCATCTTATATGGCAATCTATGATAAGATATTTTCATAATGTGAGTCATACTGAGAGTGTTTACATAAAAAATATGAGTGTGGATTAAAAGCTTGATTAAAGAGTGAGAGTATATGTAGCATTTTTTTATTTGTTGTCCAAAATCTACCACTCAAGAACTAATTGAGCTCTCAATGCGGACAACATTTTCCTATTATTAATTTAGGTATTGATAACGTAACTTTAAGCAGGACCAACTTTTGATTATCACCTACTATGACATTGTTACATTAGTCTTATTATTTTAATATTGTTTCATTACTTGACTTTTATTTACTTGTCACAATTAGTCCAGTTAAATTATGTCATTCCACTCTTTAACAAAGATGACTAAAATGTAATTTTAGCATTCAAGCCTCTTACCCCAACACATAAATTGTCTCTCTCTTATTAACTATTTTAATTTGATGATGAAGTTACATGTTATTTATGTTTATTAAGTTAAATGACAAAAATAAATAAATAAATAAAAGGATTAATAATTGTAGAACAAATGAAAATAAATGATGTAATGTGACAAAATTAAAAAAAATATATATCACTGAATGTGAAAATGTCACAATAATCAATAACTAAAAGTACAATTTAGTATTTAATCGATGTATGGATTTAGAGTTACATCATGTTAATTACATAATAAAGAATGAGAACTTTTATGTTACTAGATAAGTACAAGGTGATAGGGATCCGGTTAACTCTGGGTGGTCATACAAGTCTAATCAATTACATCGTTTGATGATAGTGCAAGTGATAATGTGGAGTAATATATATATATATATATATATATATATATATATATATATATATATATATATATATGTATGTATGTATGTATGTATGTATGTATGTATGTATGTATGTATGTATGTATGTATGTATGTATGTCATATGAGCGAATTTTTATTTATGGAAACTCATACCAATCAAGTAGGGCAACAATTTTTTCAATATTCTATAAGCTAAGGCAAGTTAGTTTGACAGCTTGATAGGTGCATATCGAGTTAAAGTATATATATAAAACTTCTAATCAGAATTGTTCAATCAAGTATTCTGAAATATTGATTTCCTGAGCCTGTTCCCCAAGTTTACTACTTGGGTTATTAGGGGCAGTTGACATGCCCTATAACCCTATAGACTACGGAGTATATGTCATTACTATCATGTAAACTTTCACATTTAGTTATAAGTATTATTTTTGACCAAATATTTAATAAAAACGATTAGAACCTATCATATTATAGGTCAAAATCATAATTTTTTATTCCAAAAACACCAATGTGTTCAAGCCAACATAGTTTTGAATTGAAAATGTGATGAATCATACACGTTTTCCATTATATTAGAGATGAACTACATGTAACAAAATTAATACTTGAATTTTTTTATTTTTTTTTTCTAATCTATCTATTTAATATAAAAAAAATATAAAATTATAAGAGTTATGAATACATGTTAGTATTCATGATTTATGTCCATAATTACATGCTTATAAAGTTGTACACTGCGCTACAAATATTATACTATCATTTTTATCATACAAAATTACACTTAAACCATTAAACTATAGTTAGTATATATTAAATGCTATCATAATTATATTTAATTGTTCACCATATCTAAAATTTTAACAATTATTAATTATTAATTTTACCATAACTATTCTCCAAATTATCAATTATACTTTTTAACATAATATATGAATTTTACAGCTATGAATTTTATATTTTTTTAAAAAAAAATTATATCATATTATTTAAAATATTTTAATATAATTATAATTGTAACATTAAATATTAATATTAATATTATATTTATTTTTACACATCGCCTATACTAAAAATTAGTCATAAAATAAAGGGAAAACGACGCTTTTGGCTCCCAAATTATCTACTTTTGAAAATTTAGCACCTATCAATAATTAATTTGAACAAACGTAGTCCTTTAATTGTCCATAATATACCACATTTAGTCCTTGATGTTATATAATTAAAAAATTTTAT